TGGCCGGTAAAGGATGGAGTATTTAGGTCACATAATCACTGAAAATGGTGTATCAACATATCCTTTGAAGATAAGTGCTATGCAAAAGTGGCTTAGACCTGCAAATATAAAATAGTTGAGGGGTTATTATCGAAAAATTGTTCAAGGATATGGAACTCTAGCCAAGCCTTTGTTGGATTTGTTAAAAAATGACAGTTTCTTATGGACAGAATCGACAGAGTTAGATTTTTGGAGGCTGAAAATAGCCATAAGCAGTACCCCTGTACTAGCCCTACCGATTTTAAGCAGCCTTTCATTATAGAAACTGATGCTTTCTATAATGATATTGGAGCAGTTCTAATGCCAAAAAGGAGGCCTCTGGCCTTTTTGAGTAAATCTATTAGTAGCAGAGAGCTTGAGATGTCCATATATGAGAAAGAATTAGTAGCTTTAGTAATAGCCATGGGAAAATGGAGATATTACTTGGAAGGACACCACTTTAACATTAAGACTGATCACCGGTCTTTTAAATATCTGCTGGAACAAAGGATTACCACACCACTCCAACAAAAGTGGCTAACAAAATTGTTGGGACTTGGTAATGAAATACAGTATAAAAAGGGATTAAAAAAATGTGGTAGTGGATGCATTGTCTAGAAGAGGAAACAATGATGGAATGTTCAGGCATGGCCGTTGTAACTCCCATATGGGTACAAGAAGTTATTGATAGCTACCAAGGAAATGATGTAGCTAGATAAAAGATTAAATCCTTGCTTATTAAACTTGAATGGGAGCTTGACTATAGTTACCAGAATGGCCTATTGAAGTATAATTATAAGATCTATTTGGGTTCAGGGAATGACATCAGATGGAAGCTAATAAGAGCCATCTATGCTTTACAAGAGGGAGGACGTTCTGGGATGCAAGCCAGCATCTTTAGGCTAAACAAAATTTCTATTGGTCTAGGATGGTAAAAATCATAAAACAGAAAGTTTTAAGGTGTGATACTTGCCAACGGCATAAGGGATAACAAATGCCTTATCCTGGTGTTACAGCCTTTTCACGAGCCTCAATATTCATGGTGTCATATCACTATGGATTACATTGAAAGATTACCAACATCAAAGGGTAAGAATACTAATAAGTAGTGGCGAATAGGTTTACTAAGTATGGGCATTTTTTTGGCTCTATGACATCACTTTTCTGCTATTATTATGGCTAACGTGTTTCTTGACAATAATTACAAATTACATGGCTTGCCACAGAGCATAGTGTCTAATAGGGATAAAGTGTTCACTAGTGGATTTTGCCACATAGCATAGTTTCTTGACAATATTTAGCCCCCGTTTGATTTTCACTATTTGTTTATTGAAATAAAAAATATGATCGTTATCCATCACATTAAATCATCATATTTGACTTTCTGTCTTTTATTTCATTCTCATTTTTATATTAATGTGTACCAAACGGGATCTTAGGAAAAGTTCTCGCAATTTGAGCCTTCCAGACAAGGTTCATTTGAGGGCCGGGGGGGCGGGGGTGGGGATGTCAAGGAAACAGGCAAGCCATCATAGCAAAGTGGGAAATGGAGGAAATTAGAAGCAAACGACAGTAAAAGCAATTCAAAATTGAGACAATCCAAACGGCGTCATATCATTTCTTAATTTTAATTGTAAAAGTACAAACACACTTTATAGATACAAAATATGTTATTTCCTGTTTGTTTACAGTTGGAGGAATGAAAGAGAAGTCAGTTAGAAAATTTGTTTGAATCTATTCCCTCTTCTTCTTTGAATTTCTACATTTCTCTCTCTCCTTTCCGTTTTCATTTCTTCATTTCTATCTAAATTCTGTTAAGGGAATATAATCCCACATCGGTAAAATATCGAAATAATGACCAATATATAAAGAATTGGGACACTCCTCTTAACAAGGTTGACCTTATTGAGATGGACCCCAAGTCTTAACATGGTATCAGAGCCCAGTAAGTTCCAACGAGCTATTCGATCCGATTAAGTCTCTAAAAATGAGCACACAGATTTCAAGATTGGTCTGCTCAAACGAGCCACCATCTTGTGGGGGCATGTTAAGGGACTATAATCCCACATCGGTAAAATACCGAAATAATGACCAATATATAAAGGATTGGGACACTCCTCTTAACAAGGTTGACCTTATTGAGATGGACCCCAAGTCTTAACATGGTATCAGAGCCCAGTAAGCTCCAACGAGCTATTCGATCCGATTAAGTCTCTAAAAATGAGCACACGAATTTCAAGATTGGTCTGCTCAAACGAGCCACCATCTTGCGGGGGCATGTTAAGGGAATATAATCCCACATCGGTAAAATACCGAAATAATGACCAATATATAAAGGTTTGAGACACTCCTCTTAATAAGGTTGACCTTATTGAGATGGACCCCAAGTCTTAACAAATTCTACTTCAATTACTAGAATTTCAGCTTGGGTTATTGATTACCAGCTGATTATCTTCATCAGGGTGTCGAATTGGGTGAGAATTAACTGGTTTTGCGTTGAGATATAGCTCGACCATTACAAACTTTAGAATTGGGATAACCAGAAAATTGGGGTTTCGACTAATCGCCGAGCAATTAAATGCGAGATAGCTTGAATTTGGTTGCCCACCAATCCTAGCCATTGATGGTGCATATTGTTTGCGATTTATAATGATCAAGAATGATCTACTGAACAATTTTACTCATTTTATGTTAAGCACAGATGACGTGTTATATAAATTTATGAATTTTAAACTTAATTGAAATGTTGAGGCCCACTATAAGCTTATTCACCAATAGATTTATATGACATGTTATCGGTGCTTAACATAAGATAAGCATAGATGCTTATTAAATTATTTATGCTATAGCAACTAGATGCAATGTGGAAAACGATATTTCTTTCTAATTGGGTTTTTTAATGATATTTTTAGAAGTAAAATTTACTATATTCTTATTAAGGCCATGTTTGAGCCACAATTTTTTTTTTTTTTTAGAAATATACATTCTTGAACAGTGATTTGACATCATTTTAGCCACACATTCTTCAATAAAATAATATTACATGCAAATCCAAAATTTTTCTTTATTTTTCAACCACACATTTCTTATCAATACACTATTCAAAAATGCATCTTTCGGAATATAATGTGGCTCAAACAAGGGCTAAGGAAAAAATCTTGTTTTGGAGTACTAGAGAATTTACATTTAACTAATCGAGATTCTGAATATCACTTAAGACTTCGAGAGCTACTCAAAAGATATCAAGTAAAGTGAGGAAGAATTGTGAGACCAAATGGAGAAACTTTGAGAACCCTTCATAATGTATTTGAAAAATAAATGCTTAAATTGAATATGATAGTGCTTGGCATTTTTATTATTGACCATGTCAAGTGCAATATATCAAATACTCAGTTAAATATTTTAAACAACTATGATTTATTCATATGTTTATCCTAAAATATTCTGCACAAATGGAAGATGGATTTCTAAACATATGCAAAAGATTCAAACAAAGGTTTAAGCCCCAATTAGTAGTGATCACGAAAGATTTTGTACTCATGAATTCTCAAGTCGCTTGTAATACAAATCCAATGTAGTGAAGATACTGTCAAACTCGACAGAATGTACACTTTTCTAGTTAAAAAAAAATAAAAATAGATGAATTCGTCATCGGTTGAGAGAGCCCATGATGATTATGTTTGTGTAAAAATATAATACTCTGTCTATTGTAGTCAGCCTCACACAGTGCCTTATTGACGATTGCCGTGTCCGCGGCTTTCCCCTTTTAGGGCTACTCTTCATTCTTTCGAGCAATGATCTACGTTTTGGACCGGCTCGATGGCCCTACCCTAGCTTTTCATTGGGTTTTATTTTTTAAAATAGTATCCTAGAGCCCTTCTAATTTAAATTTATTAAAAGTTCAAGTAAATGGCTAAACCAATCTTCATAAATAAGGTTGGGAGGCAGTTATTGAACAACCAAATTAGGTTAGCTAAATTCAATTATAGGTCGGAAACATATGGCAAATAATTTTCACATTGCTAAATGCGTGTTTGATAAAATTTAAATGAGTTAAACATAATTTTTATTTAAACAATTTTTAGGATCCATAATTTATTCATTCTCTCTATTTTATTGAACCTATATAGCTCATATACACTTTTAAGAGCATCTTCAAAAAAATCTCAATTTTTAAGGAATATATTCTATCATTTGAAAGATAGCTATAAATTTAGAGAGTTCAAATTTTGAAATACTTCAACAAACTCTTTATATTTAGTACTTAATTTTACTACTCTCAAAAAATATTTATTATTTTTCTCTATTTTTTATTATAAATAACTTTTCTCTAAGCCCCCATTTGATCCCCATTATATTACATTATATTTTTCTCTCATATTTTCAACCACACAATCTTTCATAAAATAATATTACACGTAAATCGAAAATTTTTCCTTCTTTTTCAACCACTCATTCTTTTCAAAAAACACTATTTCACCCAATTTCATTATCGAAAATAGGAGTCAAACAGAGATTAAATTATTTTATTATTTTCCTATATTAAAAAATAACACACTATAAATACATTTAATTATGAAGAGTAAATTTGAGGAACCAAACCCACTCTTCAAATCGAAGCGTTAATTTAATATCTCTAAAGCATGATTTTAAAGAATGACTCTTTAAAATAGGGAGAATCTTTTCTTCTCTTCACGTTTGAAAATACTCTTTAAGATACTCTAAAAAGTATAATATGGTACAGCACTAATGTCATGGCCCAGTAAAGCTCATCTGATAGTATCTCGAGATGGCGTGACAGGGCCTGCATTTTCTTGAAAAAGGGAAGGCTGGATAAGGGCAATTCCGAAGCTTCATGTGAAAGAACAATCAAAGGATAATAGATCGCATGTTCGAGAACAATATGGAAAAATGAACCATAGTACAAAACTTACAATGATGCAAAAACCAAAAACAATATTTGCGTTTGCATGCACCAGATGTTGATAAAGAAATTCAAATTCCTTGCTCAAACTGTAAGTTCAATACATCAAACATGTTTTCCTCGTGCTTATAAGTTATAAGCTGTTTTTCTCAACAAGCAAGACAAACATTTGCAACAACAGAAAATAAAAACGATAATAAGAAAAATATTCACAATTATTATTAGGAATTTACATGGGTCAGTAAAAGTGCTTATCCATAAGTTAATCCAGTTGCTTATCGGCCCAACGATAGCGCCACCGTAGTGTCGAGCCGCCATGCAAACCCTCCAGTGTCCATTCTCCAAACGTCACATGGCAGTGTGACAGAAATCTTGTCTTTACCGCACGTGACCACCCTAACCCGGCACGTAAACGAAGGAACCCCGGCAGGTACCACCACTCCCGCCTTAATTACAAGACACGCCACCACCTCCTCCGTGCCCGCAGCCACCATCTGCCGATATGTCCCATTGGTCCACATCACCCGATTCAGACTGTCGGATATGAAACCCGGACACGTGTCACGCTGTAGGCCCATCACCCTCTCCTCGTCAGTTCGGCCAAGACGATAACAGTCCACCGAACTGTTAGTTACACATTCAACTTTAACCCATGAAACCACAGCCGCGGCCGATTTCTCTCTCTCTTCACCCCCAAAGCTCAACCATAAAGGAGCACTGGGTGCCGCTCTTTTCTTACTTTCCTTCACGTCAGATGTCTCTGGAAACAAAGGCAGCGTCACCACCGTTTCTCCGCCTAAAACAGACCCACCGGAGGCGGAGTTCTCCGGCGAAGCCTTTCTTTTTCTGTTACAGACCTTTTTATTTGTATTTTTGGCACTGGCAGAGTCTTTAGTATATTTTCTCTTCCCACGGCCAGTTTTGACAGATGGGTCGGTGTTTTCCGGCACGGAGTTGCTTCCGCCGCCTGAAACTGACCCATTTTGGGATGGTGGCTTTGGAGCTATTGGCCGGAATCGCATCATTATCCGGCCAAAGTTAGACATGTCGGACACGCCGCCACCAGTGTACCTCGCTATACAGCACCCTCCTCTTCCATCCATATTACTCGTCTTTTTTTTTTTATGTAAAATTTCAGTACTAATAATATGACTTAAACAAAATAAGTAGCCTGAAGTTGGCTGAATAAAGATTGAACAAGAGGCAGTTTGATATATACTGAAAGTTGAGGAAGTAAATTTGCAATTGAGGTCATCAAACTTTTTAGGGACTCTTCATAAGTTCGTCACTCAAGTTTGATTTACTTTAATTTTATCATCTAAATTAATTTTTCTTTTCAATTTCACCATGACCAAAAGTTAAAACCTGTCTCATGTGGCCAATAGAATGCTTAAACTAATACTTTTTAAAATGTCTAGAAAATATGAACTTATGGTCAAAATTCACCTCTCTCAAGGTTTAGGTTGGCAAAAATTGTCATTTAATCCATATCGAGTCAAACATTTCAGTATACGAGTATTCAAATTTGTTTTTTGATTTTTTCATTTGTAACTTTTTATCAGTTAATAGAATTGTAATTTTTTTTTTTTTATCAATTTATCATTTGATGATGCATGTAAGAGTAATTGAATAGCAAGGAGGAGTTACGTGCTAGTCAATCACTTCACTTTTTATATTGATTTTGTCCTTCGGAGGAAACATATATGTGAAGCAACCCTCATACAGTCTACAAGTAGAATTCAGATAAACTAAGGATGTCTGGGAAGAGCCAATCTTTGTGAGTAGCTTATCTAATCAATCAAGATAAAAGCATGTATCTTGCTCATAAACACAATAGAGAAGCTTTTCGAAATAACCTAAAGGGTTCAACTGGCTTCCCATTTCCAGATCATTCATATTGAGTGAATTATTTCATTTCGTTATTGCAAAAAAATATATTTGAATCCGTAATTTTGGTCATGGTTACATGTAAAATCATCAAATCAAAACAAAAATGTAAAGTCAGTGATTGAAAGTGAACAAACTAAAGCTGAATAACCAACACGAAAGAAACCCATATTCCAAATTACTTCCAAAAAATAAAATAAAAAAAAAATCCCCAAGTTTAGGGTTTTTTCCTTATTAAGTTAGGACACGTACGATGATAATTTCGACACGCAGAAAGCCGATTGGTACAAATAGTGGGCCACGTGATAGTAGCCCTAGCTATCCAATAGAAAAGGAGTATAGGTGGACCCAAAATTTGAACCAATAAGATTTCGAAGAGTGGCTAGTAATTAGTCAGAAGCGGGGCACATAGGTCGTCGTGCTTTGGGCCTTGTCTACGACGGTGGATGTACTCTTTGAATGACACGTGTATTTAATTCTTGATTTTTCGGATAGTAATGAGCTCCTTTTGTGGGCGATTACAAGTTTTTTATTGCGCCGCGTGGACGGTTGATTGGAGAGACAAAAATAAAGGGGTTCGGTTTTTACTTAAATCTGCTTATAAGTTGAAGATGTTTGGCTGATTTTTTTGGTTGGTACGCAAGTGTTTATAAAAGTCAAATTACTTCTACTCAATTATTTTTAGGATTTATAAGAATTACTCATGTATTGATCACATTTTTTTTTTTTTAGAATAATGCTATTTCCACTGAAAACTACCGACAGTCGATTTTTCATTTGATGTATAATTCAAAAAATAATTACCATATCTATATATTAAATACCAAATCGTCAAGTGTATGCCACCTAGGACGATTACTGGCAGTCTTCACTACGAATTGCATTACTCTTTTTTTTAATAAACAAAAATGTTTATAAATACTTGCCAAAAATGGGCTAAAATTAAAATTGTCAGAACCATAATTTGATTGGAATGGTGAAAATATCTAAACTTATGCATAACTCATGTTTATAAATTGTTTTATAAATATTCATGTCACTTTATATCCACAATTACCTCTTATATATCACTCATTTTTACCTATTTAAAATTTAAACTGTTTATTCAATTTCTGAACATGCTTTAAATCTATGGCTGATTTTTAACAAGCTAATTAGAAGTTTATCTCCAGAATTGGGAGAAATGAGAGAATACATTTTAGTTGATGAATCAAAATGGAAATGCCACCGTCGATTTGAGGTGACAATAGGAGGATAACAAATTTCATATTAGGGATATTAACTTTTGAATTTTGATTTGAGCTCTAATTAGAAACTAAACGTTTAACTAGTAAATACTCAACCACTAATATTACTTAATTCTTTAAAAATAAGATGAAATGTTCACCCAAAAAAAATATATAAAAAAAAAAGGTGAAAGATTCTGAGGAATGTTATGATCTAGTAGCAAGATCATAGTTATCCGTCAATTTTAAGATCCTATATGCCATTCAAATCGTTCGATCATTTTGGAATTGTATGATCGCAATGTGGATCGAGAGTTTAACAACCACGATACACACTACATACTATGCTTACAAGATAAGTATTTCAAAAATGTTGTAGTTAAGTTAATAAAATAACTTAAATGTTCTTACTAATTAACAATATAAGAAAGTACCGTTAATATTACTGTCATCTACATAATAGATGCTACTGATATGTAAGAATAGTTTAATATTAAGAGTTTAATTAATTACAAATAGTTAGTGAAAAAATATACATGAATGCAAACATAATAAAGAAATCTTTGCAAGTAACTCTCAACCTTCAAAACTTGCAAAATGAACTTTCAAAATTCTAAGTACATTTGGGAAGTATGAAGATGTTATTGGTCATGTTTAATATGTTGCACGTTAGATAGAATTAGATATCAAGAAATTTAAAAGGTTGTGTGTTTATTTTACACAATATTATCCTGTACAGCTTAGGAACGTGTCTTTTACTTTAATGTATAAATTGTAAAATCATTGTTTAATTGTTTATGAATGTGAAAAATAAACTAGTCAAAGTGGAAGAGCATACAACTATAGAAGTTAAATTCTTAAATTAGTCTATATGTACAGACTAATTGTTCACAGAACAATTTCAGAATATCAGGGGGTGGGTGGGGTGGTTTTTTTGCAATTTTTTACTCATATGGAGTGGATCCTATGTGAGTGTTCGGTATAGGTTCACTTCAATAGGGATTGTGAACCCTTGTCTATACACCAAGAATTATTCTAAATTCTTTAGTTTAGGAAAAATAAATAAACTCAAAGGTTAAATTTCTCAGAGGTAAAAAAATTTATTGGTATTTATTTTCTATAATTGAGTTTTAATTTTTTTACAAATAGTCACTGTACTTTTAACTTCATTTCCACTTCTCACTTATCATTTTGAATTATTAAAAATTCTTGTTTGCCACTTCATCGAAATAGTTATTCAAAAAGGAAATGGAGTGATAAATAAAATATTAAATAAAAAATATTTGAGAGGGAAAAAAAAAACTTTAATTACAATAAAGAAACAATATTATAAGTACTGCGAGAATTTTAGCTTGTTCTCTAGTGCCTAAACACTATCCAACGTAGCTTACTTCAGTCTAATCTAATTCAAATGAAAGATTGCCAAGTGTAAAGTTTTGAGATTCGTGACAGATTATTATAAACAAATGTGTCATACCACTTAATAATATAGAGTTCAATGATTATAATTACTATTTAAGACTAAGTTACATTTACCTGCAATGCATATATTTGCTTTGTTTAAAGCGGGAACTTCCAAATCAAGCATAGAATATGGTTTTAAATTTCAAAAGTGCAATGAACCCCGCTTTTTGTTTATTGTTTTGCCTTTATAGAAAGAATAAATAGATTACTCAAAGCTCAAAATTATATCATAGTTCAGAAAGTTTAAACAAACAATTTTATGTCCAAAATTTCATCTATCAGTCAAATTTCAAGATCGATATTTTCAATCAATCCACCGTCTTGTCAAGACACGTAAAAATAAAATTTCATATCTTGCAATAGTATGTTAAAGATAAATTTTTACACAGTTTAAACTTGTAAATAATAATCAACGTTGTTCACGACCCTCGACAGGTGTGCAAGGATGCTAACTACATTACTTGGTTTGAGAATCTATTTAGTGCAAAAAAAGCTATCAAAGACTTCAAGATTAGAGGGTGGGGATAAAATCAGTTAATTCGCTACTCTTTTGGAGAAAGGGGTATCAAATTCCCATTTAGACTGTTAAAAGTAACATCATTCTTGATACTAAAATCTAACCAGGAACACACGTGGTCCAATGAGCTACAAAAGAGTCTATTATAATCTTGTTACTTATTGCCACTTTAAGAAATCTCCACCTCGAGTTGTTCGTTTCCACTTCAAAATGAAAGTCAACATCGATTAACTCTATCATCACAGAGTCTTGAAAAAATGGTAGTTATTCTAAAGGTTGAACCTCAATCTTAAGGGTTCCCCATCGCTTCTGTTCTGGAGTATCGTAAGGGAGGTAAATCGCAGATTATGCCTCCAACGATACAGGGTGGAAGGCTGCTTGTACACTTGCACTTACCCAAGAGTCAAATCCCTATTTTAGGATTCGAACCCTTGACGCGACAGTCTCAAACAAAGCTAGATTTCTCCACTCTCCCATTTTACCACTTGGAGATGTGCCCTAGGGCAAAATGATAGTTATTCTAAATTCGACTAAAACATACACTACACGTTGGGTACTTATTAATGACATAGTTATGTTAAATCTTCGAGTAGATTTAGACAAAATTGACATTTTTACTTTTTTTTGGTGTACAAAAGCAGCAAAGGAAACATGCTCCGTTGAACTATATAACAAAATTGAAACCATGTATCTGATTTTATTATTTTTTTCTACTTTGTTATTGGTGCATTTAAAAGTATTGTTATGACTTGAATACAAGATTTGGTCGATGTTAGTTAGCCCCTGTTTGAGCCCTATTTTTGGATGGGATATGTATCTTTGAATAGTTATTTTTTGGAGAACGTGTTGTTAAAAAAATTAAAAATTTTGAGTTTACTTTTAAAATTATTTTAGGAAAGAACGTGTGATTGAAAATGAATTTTAAAAAAAAATGAAGACCAAATAGAAGCTTAGCCTCGTTTGGTACATATTTTTGTAAGAATGAAAATGAAAAATATAGTCGTTATGGTACAAGAAATAGGAATTTAAATATAGTGATTTTATATGATGAATGACGATTATAATTTTCATTTTTGT